GGGGGGGGGGGGGGGGGGGGGACTCTCATAAATAAAGCTCGAGGATGCTCGTCGTCTCGCTTAGGGGTATGAATCAAGGATTCTGGTCTCACTTGGAGTGTCAAAGTATCTTTTACAGTTTTACTTACCCTGTCTTTGTAAACCGCACGCTTTTTTTCTATTAATTGTATACAATTAAATTCATTAGCGCTTACTAGTAAGTTCTATTATTCTAATTTGCATCTCCTGTAACATTTGCACTAGAAGGCAGAAGTTGTTCTACCGTGACATGCCTGGCAAATTAAATATCGTCGTTGTATATCTTAAATGTGCAGGCAAGTGATAATTGCTTACCAACAGTACCTACATCAGAATTAGCATCAAGTGTCGCCGTCTTGTCATAATATTTTAACAAAGGGCCGGGGTTTAGGGAACTAACGCAAGAAAATAAATCATTTGTTCAACCCTCAAAGGCGATGTTGTCTCTTTTGTTTTATTCCCCGAGCCTAGGCGCCATGGTGAATATAAATATTTCGAAAATGGCTCATTGTTAGAAGTTTTGGAAAGTTCCCGAACTTTTTTTGTTGGAGTACCGGGCGTAACTATCGTTAAAAACTATAATCGCGACGAGCTCACGCGACTACTTCTGGTTGTGTTAACTGCACAAGAATAATCGTTAAAGGAGCTACGTCACGGTTAGCGCATCTTGAAATTTTCCACGTTCGTCATCTTTAATCCGTGTTAATCTTGAACATCCTTTATCATCCTTGTTCCTCTATGGTTTAATGTTATCTCTTTGGTGTTTTTCTATCTTAGTAAACTACTACTTTCAGGTTTCCTTCAATCTTAAGGTAATTTTATACGTACAACTCAAAATGTCGTGACTGAGCTCCTTTTAAGTCTTCTAGCAGTTTGTCCTCATTCATGCTCGCTCGAACTATAGAACCAACTTCAAATGAGAACAATCTAAAGGTTTTTCCCAGAAGCAGCGCTCATTTTACCTCAGCGTTTCTTTCAAAAGGAGGCCGTTTTGTCTTATCTAGCGTTTGTTTGCTACAAAATTTTTTCAGTCATTTCCGAAGTCAATTTTAATTACCTATTTTAACCTATTAAATTCCCTATTTTATAACAAACCAAATCTTGCGCTAAGGCAAATCTACAGCATCTTCTTTTACCCAGCATGAATCAACGAGATTATCTCCATATAATGCGAGCGAATAAGATACACTGTAAATATTTATCTGTTGCCACTCGATCTCGCTTCGTTTGAAAATTTTACCACTTTCAGTTGCTTTTCTAAACTCGTGGCTAGCGTAAGGGCTATTTTCACTATCACGGAAGCATAAGCACTGACACACGCAAACGCAGTAAGATGCTAGTTGTGTGCTCAGTTATCAGGCCTATGAATGCAAGCGAGGCTGGAGGTGAACTTGCTTAATACAAACCTCTCTGCTTTTCTCTTTTACACGCGAACAAGTAAGCATTAGCAAGACTTGGTTGACACAACAAAAGCAGTGAGGTCTGTACAAAACCAAGGTCACCTCCAGCCCTCACTGCCATTCAATCTCAGGCCACTGAGCAGACAACTGTAAAATTAACAAATTGACGTCAGTTTTTCATGCGTCTGTCCTGTTATTGACCATGAATTTCGTCATAACAATGTCAAAGCAGCTGTGGATCCATGTGGCGATAGCCGAGTGGATCCGCAGACTACTGTAATGTTATGACGAAATTCATTGTCAATAACAAGACAGACGCATAAAAAACTGACGTCAATTTGTTTTTTACGATAACAAATTGTCAAATCGTCCGCTCTCGCTCGATGCCGCATCGCATAATTTATAAATTCATGTGTCTGTCCGTTTATTGACGATGAAAATTAGCCAATGAGCGAGCGAGAATTTTTGCAGTTATCGTAAAATGGTCTACTGGCGCTCTCTCGAGTTCGGTCTACGTTCCTACGGGAAGGAGCGCGGGCTCCCTCCCCGAACAGCGGCTGGTTATCGAGCCTAATGCTTATGCGCGAGTGAAAAACAACCTTCATGTCTCTGTCAACCTGACAAACTTGTTTTTCTCTTGTTAGGAAATTGGAATTCCAGCCTGAAGGCGTCGGAAATGAGTTGAAGCGTTATATCAAAAACTTATAGAATGGTAAGAGACGAGACGGTTCTGACTATGATTATTAACTAAGGTATTCTTCTTCATTCCTGCTCTTCGGCAATTATATCCTTGCCATGGATAGTCTTGTAATGTTTTCTCAGGGAACTTGGATCTGTGTACCTTTTGAAGCAGTTCGCTACTTTACAGGGGTAGGGTTTGGTCTCCGAATGTGTTCTTGTATGTTTATACCTGTCACTTGAATTGGAGTACCTTTTATTACAACCCGCTACGGGGCAAACATAAGGCTTCTCACCCGTGTGCGACCTTGTGTGAATTTTCAAGTTCTCGAGCCGCGAAAAGCTTTTGCCGCAAGAGTCATGGTTACATCGGTGGGGCCTCTCCCCGGTATGCGTTCTCATGTGTATCAACATTTTGTACCGCGCATTGAACCCCTTTCCGTTGCGCGCGCAGCCCTGCCACAGGCAGCAGTACTCACTAGCTTCAGTTCTAATGTGGTATTCGTTGACGTGTGCGACGAGATCTTCCAACGATAAGAAATGCTCACAACAGTTGTCCCATTTGCACTGGTGAAGTTCCGGTAATGTCGGCGACAGCGGTGATGTCATTCCATGAGGCAACACGGAAACTATTTGCCCCTGGTGGCTAACTTGGTCGTGTTCGAAAATTTGCCGCAGGTAGGTGAGGCTTGATGGGTGTGCTGTGACCACTACATCTGTTGCTGGCGACGAGCTGAGCTTCTCTGACGCTCTACTACTCTGAATCGCTTCTGATGTCGTAAACTGAAGTGAAAAACAAAAGCTTATTCAGCGAAATTGCTGATACTTTGGTGACAAGGGGTACAATTTAATTTAACCAAAGTTTGACCTTGCAACTAAGCTTGATTTAAGTTAGGGTGTTAACAAGCTGTTTTTCCAGAAAATATTCATATCGCTCCTCCCAGAAGTTTTCTGGCCTCACCCCCACCATCCCTTTCCTCCCCTCCCCCTCACTGGAAGTTACAGTTTGGCTCATACTCTCCTTTAAAAATGTTGGCTTTTGAAATAACCTCCCTCTCAAACTTTCAATAACCTTTCGATATTTCCTAGAAAAATCTCATTAAAAACTCTAGGACCTCTACACTGAATATCACTTTGAATATTCATACCTCTTACCTAATTAATGCCTCAATATTTATGATCCTTGCTAATATGGCAAACGTTTTCATGTACTTACCACAACGCAAGGCTCCAGGACTTCTCTATCTTCTCCTTTTACCATCAACAGTTCTTCCTGACCTTCCCTTCCCCGCAGCTCACCGGACAGGAGCTCAGAGGTCCCTTGAACGTGAGTTAGTACACATGGCAGAACAGAGGATGTCAAAACGACAGGCTGCTGAAGTAGCCCTACTGTTGAGTTAATGACGGTGGAGTCCGAAAGCAGATCAGCTGTCACAGGTGTGTCCGAGAGACAGGGAGAACTTTCCAAGTCGCTTGAAGAAGCAATTGTATCAGTTTCATTAAGAACTGATGATCCATGCAAGACAGAGTCTTCAGGAGAAAGATCTGTCATTACTGTAGTCACATCTTCCTGATCGAGCATTTCAGAGACTGTTGTTACCACAGTTAAGGTGTTTTCACATTTGTCAAGCTCAATATTAACATGATCTTCCTTCTGTACATCTCTACATCCTTCTGTGATCTCCTCTTCTGTACATCGACTTTCTTGGTCATTTTCCAGTTCCTCTGACATCTGTCATGAAAAGAGGAATAGCTGTTATAAAGACTTGATTTAAACATGCAATGATTAATAATGGTAATAGGACTGAGTGGAGTCCAATTCAGTCTGTAATCACATGACTGATTAACAAAATTGGACGACCGCCAAGCGGGAGTCCAAGTTGTTAATCATGAGAATGGTTACAGACAGAATTGGATGACATGATGTCCTGTTACCAATCAATGATAACCATTACAAGTTCCCGAAAAAGCAAAACTTTCATTTGAAAATAGCTTTCAATAGTCATTTTTGATGATGATAATTGCAAATGTTGAGAATAGCTTGAAAAATGGCTGTTAAGTTTCTTAGAAAACAGTCATCGAAGATAAACCACCCCAATTTTACATAGTAACTCATTTGAATTGGTTACTATAGTGATTACAATCAATGTTGTGATTGGTGGATTTAGGTGTGAGGACTTACAATGATTGGCTATTGTAACTGTCTGATTACAGCTGACTGTCTGATTACAATGTCTGATTACAACTTTGTAGATTAATTAGTGCAAAATACTGCAGTTTTTGCACCAATACCATTTGAGGAAATGGTAATAGTTATTAATTGCTATGATTAATTCTAGTACTTCTGAAGAAATAGCCATACCCACCCCAAAAGGTCATTTGAAATAGAGAGGGGATGGGTGCCTCTAGCACCAAAGATTTTTTTCAAGCAAATTTCCAAACTAAACTGGAATTCCCAGAGGGTGGGGCTAGTAACCCAAGAAATCTTCTAACAAGGTCACTACAGATATTTTCTAGAAACACACAATATACTGTAACAGGAAAGCACCTGACAGCAAGCTGATTATCGATGCCTAGTATGTCTCAAGTAGAAATAATATAACTTATTATTGCAGACTCTTAAGTTCAATTTATCGCCTAAAAACTGAGTCCAGACAAGTCAATATATAAAGTTAACCTTTGTAATCTCAAGAGACAAATAATCAAAATGAAATTTCATGTTGAAGTACAGACACAAGTCAAAATGGCCTCACGTGAACTAAGTGAACTGGTTACAAATTTAAGCAGCCATGTCAGAAGGGCTACCAACAAAAAGGCAACTTTGACTGTATCATCAAATTTACAAAACTAATAAAATTTATTTAATTATTTATAAAGAGGTACATGGCATGAAGAGTGACCTTATCATGTATCTATATTCAGAGCTGTTCTGCCCTAATGACTAGTGTTTGCAGTGGACTCTGGATCAATTGGTCTGGGTTTGAGCTCTGGCTACGGTCACTGCATTGTGTTCTGGGGAAAGATACCTAAATCTCACAGTTCCTCTCTTCAGCCAGCAGTATAAATGGGACCTGGCAAATTGTGGGTGTAACTTGACAGGATGCCGGGGAAACCTGTGATGGACTAGCATCCCATCCAAGGGGAGTAGGGACATCCCCAGCCACTTCCTCTCACAGAAACAGGTCAGTTTTAAGCATACAGCTATGAGTCAACTGGGCTTCACAGGCTATGCAACTTACTATTGTGTACAATGCTTAAAACTCTCGGTGGGTGTAGTTAAATATTAGGGAGTTTAAGCAAATCGCTATGGCTGGCTCTGATATGGCTGCCGGAAGTAAATTTCCCCCAAAATGAGACACTGCGCATGTACGTTGGTTGCATCCAGCCGTAGTGTGAAGCCTGACAATGCGAGTCAGGATGTTTTGCCGTAGTGGCTACTACTTCGGGTTTATTTCACTTCTCTGGCCCTTTCCAACGGACATCTCGGCATTTTAAGAATTCCATTGGATACTA